GCCATGCATCACCATTGAGTGCTGTGCTGAAAGAGAAAAAAACCGAAAAAAAGTTCCCCACATTAGGAGAGAAAAGAGAAGACTGCGGTCAATGATCAATTGTGCACATCCTTTTTGGATGGTCGGCTTAGAGTGAAAGCATACGAACATAGACTTTGTGACTGACTTCGCCGTATAAGCATATCTTCACTGAAAGTCATTAGGGCTGCTTTTGCCCATGCCATGAATGAGAGTGAGTCCAGTCCATCTTCCTTCCCTGGATATGTTGTGTCCTCTACATTCGCTTCATCCTCCGCCTCTACTGCGCAAAGATTTTGATCCCCCGTTTAGTGAGTCGTGAAAGCACCTACCTTATGTTTAGACGTATTGGTTTCAGTTGAAAACCAAATAGAGAGTTTTGCGTGTGCCTGCTTTAGTAAGAGTAAGGAAAAAGCTTGAAAAGCGTACTTGCTTTAACAACGGAAAGAGGTTCCTTCAGCGGTTCAGCTTTAGGTCTCGGTCAGGTGCTTTTCATGATTGTGGTGTTTGATTGGGCACGGGCGTTCCTGTCCTTACTTAGAGGTCAAGTTGCCACCTGTCTATCGAAGGGGGATTTCCCAGCCTATCTCGGTATATGTTACCGAAAGAAGGAAGAAAAATCTAATGATTTCCCTAATTCTGTGAGAAAGAAAAACCAGTTTGTTAGAGCTGGGGCAGAGAAGCAATCACAGAAGGGTCCCTGTTGTTCACAAGTGAAGGCACTGAACGGATCAAGATCTCGTAATCCATTGTCTTTCTTGATTCAAATCAGAAAGAACTTCTTTCGCTATGAAGCCATGCCTGAGCTGTCAGCTTATTAGCATCCCTCTTCTGTGTTAGGAATTGTCCGAAAAGGTTCGATTGAATCCCATGCTTTCATGGTCCCTATCTCTCTACCCCGGCACTGGCCGACACGTAGGTCTATTTCCGCGCTTTCCTAGGTGCGCATCTCCATCTACTAAAGTAGGGGTGGTTTGCCATAGATAGATTGGGTCATTCGTAACCAGAGCAATAACCGATGCTACAGCATAAACTAAGCTATATGTGGCGGCCCCTAAAGGCGTAACTGACAGGTTCTGTTTTATCTGCCATCCAGTCATCCCGTACTCCAAAAAAGCAGAGGTGAGGTCCGGAGAGTGGGACGGATCTACCTGGCCAAGGTGCCAATGTCAAGTGGTTATCCGAAGTGTTGGAATATGCTCTACCTACGGTACCTAACTAGTCTTTCTTTTCGGTAAGTAAGAATACATTGACCGATGGAGGAGAACCCCGAAGTAAACAAATGAAGGGGCATACCCCACCCCAGGCAACCAAAACAAAGAACTCAAGACACTCCCCGAGCTCTAAATAAAGAAACTAACCTATGGAAAAATTATTGAAATTAGATTACGATTACAAAGGCTAAAAATAATCCAAGTTTCTACGTAATCAAAAAGAGCCTAAGGATTAACCGAAACTAAGCACATACTAAGCCCAATAAGACACATCGGCCTAGATATACATGAGGCCAACTGAAAAACAGGTATACACATCAAATAAACTAGGATGAAACATAGGATTCGGTGGATGATTCGGCATCCTTTATTAATTGCGTATATAACGGTAGCCCTTCCTAAATAGTTTTTGAGTAGGCTAGGAAAGAAAGAAGAAATGATAGAGCGAAATGGGTTGGTTGCCCAAAGGGCTATCTGATCTTATCATGGGGGGATAGCACAAGGGCTTAAGGCATTGGTTTGCTAAATCGACATACAAGAAGATTGCATCATGCATGGGTTCGAATCCCATTTCTTCCAGTCTTTTCCTACTGAACACTTTCCTGCTCAAGATAGGGTACTAGAAAGGGATCATACGAAGGCTATGTTCTTTTTTTAGATCTAGCCTGAATGACTCCTAAACTAAAGGTTTTCATTATATCTAAATTGAGTTCTTAGAATTCTAAAGAAGCATTTCTTAAAAAAAAAAAAAAAAGAAGCCCGAATGCTCAAGCTCAATATCATATGGGTTGTGTTCTACCAACGAGCAGCCAGGAGCCTAAAGAAAGCACTGAGAAAGAGATAAGTGTTCCGTATAGGTGGTTATGTAATGCGCGTTGGTACCCCCATTACATAAGCAAAAAGTTTGAAGATTCTTGGGAAAAGCATGTCTACCGCGTATCCTCGAAGTTCTCTTCTCTGGGGTTGGCAAAAATGGTCCCTGTGGTTTGTCAATTTCTGTGGGTAAGATCCAAAAAAAAGTTTATTAGCAAAAAATGTCCCTATTTGATGGTTTTGTTGCAGTTTTGGTCCCAACTCGAAGTTTAACAGCATGGTTGTTAACTTTTGGCAAATAACGGATTTACCCCTGGGACCATTTTTGCAGTTTTATCTTTTTACCAAACTACAAGGACCAATTATGCAATTTTTCTTTTTCATTTTATTGAATTATTATACATTAATTATTTTAATTACTTTTTCTTTTAACTTTTTTTTCTTATTGTATTATTTTTTTATTGGATTATTATATATTAATAAATATTATTTTTAATATATTATATTTATATATTAATAAATATTAATTTTTTTAATTAATTTTTTTTGAATTTCTTCTTTATTGCATTAAATCTTTTTTATTGGATTATTATATATTAACAAATATTATTTTTAACATATAATATTTATCTATTAGTAAGTGTTACTTTTTTGGATTATTAAAATCATTTAATTAATTTTTTTTTTGTTAATTCTTTGATTGGGATTATATATATTAATAAATCTATATTTTTAATATATTATATTTATATATTATAATTATTACTTTTATTATTATTAGGATTATGTTAATTGACTTTTTTTTAATCTCTTCTTTATTGTCTGAATTCGTTTTTATTGGATTATTAATATTAATAAATATTATTTTTAGCATATAAGATTTATCTAGTAGTAAGTGTTACTTTATGTATTATTACTTTCATTTAATTTTTTTTTTAACATTTGTTCTTGTATCAGTTCTTTTTTTGGATTAATAAATTATAATTTATTTTTTTTTCTAATAAATAATATTTATTTAATTGTTTTTATTTTATTTTAATTTCTTTCTTTATTGTTTTAATAATCAATACCCAACACTCCGGGTTAGCTCCTCCATTCGGTGCATTTTACCACCCTTGCGTCGTCGTATCATCTCGCTGGAAATCTCGATCCATCGACTACAGTCGGTCATTCTCGACGAAAACTACACCAGTTGACTACCCCACACAATGTGAAATAAACCCAGAAAGCATACTTCCTCCAGCCGACATTCATTACAGATACCGCCAGCGATAACGACAGGTTAGATCGAGGTTTCAACAAACCACACACAGCCACTACAGGTGGGAAAAAGGTGGTAAAACGCGTTATTCGGTACTCGTTCGGCCGACTGCTGAGTAGCGAATACTCAGATTTCGTAATTCATGTAAAAATAATTTTAGGGAAATTATATATGTCAAAATCATAAGTTAAAATATTATATGCTAAAACTAAAAACAATTAAAAAATAATTAAAAAATTTTATTTATTATAAATAAAAATAATAAATTTAAATTAATATACCAATAAAATAAAATTAATGCAATAAAAAAATTAAAAAAAAGTTAATTAAATAAAATTAATAATCCAATAAAGTAACACTTGCTATAGAGAAATTAATATGCTAAAAATAAATATTTGTTAATATATATTAATCCAATAAAAAAGAATTAATGAAATAAAGAAGAAATTAAAAAAAAATTAATAAAAAAGAGTAATATTTATTAATATATAATAATCCAATCAAAAGAATTTACGAAATAAAAAAATTAAAAAAAAAATAATTAAATGAATGTAATAATCCAATAAAGTAACACTTAGTATAGATAAATATTATATGTTAAAATAAGTATTATTAATATATAATATCAATAAAGAAGAATTAATACAATAAAGAAGAAATTCAAAAAAATTAATTAAAAAAATTAATAATAAAAAAAGTATTATTTATTAATATATAATAATCCAATAAAAACAATACAATAAGAAAAAAGTTAAAAAGAAAAAAAGTAATTCAATTATTTAATAATTCAATAAAATGAAAAAGAAAAATTGCATAATTGGTCCTTGTAGTTTGGTAAAAAGATAAAATTGCAGAAATAGTCCTAGGGGTAAATCCGTCATTTGACAAAAGTTAACAGCCATGATGTTAAACTTAACGAGGTAGGGACAAAAAACACAACAAAACCATCAATTAGGGACCTTTTTTGCTAATAAACGTTTTTTTGGACTTTACCCCACAATTGGACAAACCACAGGGACCATTTTTGCAATTTTGTCTATAATATATATATATAGATATATATAGATATATATATATAGATATATATATATATATAATATTATATATTATATATATATATATAGGGAGTTTGTTCAAATAAGAACCAAAAAACAAACATTTTAATTCCCAACTTTACAAATTACTTGCACTTGTTGTCGGACCACCGCCAGAACGTCGCAGACTGCCACCGGACTAACATTAAATTTAGTAGCATTTTTCTGGCTGTATTCACAGCTTAATAGAACAAACATTGTAGATTCAATTTCTTTGGTAATACTTTTTATTTTTGTAGCCAAATATATACAAAATTTAATAAAAAAAATAGAGTTATGCCTTGACAAATTTAATTTTTTCTATTTTAAACTATAAAGTTCTTTAAAAAAAAGTATCGTTTAGACATTCACAATTTAAAATATCATATGCACAGTTTAATGGACATTAATTCACTAATATGCAGTTTAATATTTTTCATATATACATTTATTTATATTTTAACACAATTTATAATATATATATATATATATATATATATAATATATATATATATATATATATATATAATATCTATATATACACTACCTTATAATAGAAATCTCACTATTTTCATAAATAGATTCATTATAATAATAATATTTTTTAAGACGTTCAAGTCTTTTAGCTTAAAGTACAACCAATCATTAATATAATAATATTATAATATCTATCTTACAAATTATAATGTTACGGATACAAGTATTAACAACACCTTTAAATCAGTATTTCCTTACTTTCAGGATTAAAGAGGGATTGAATTAGTATTTTAAATAATTTTGAGTTTTTGATCCAACATTCCAGCTCCTTAAATTTTTGACGTATCCAATTTAAATTAAATGGTACAAAATGTAATGCAATATGTATAAATACCGAATGCAATACATACCTGGCTTCTTATCCTTCTCTGTTATCTCTGTTTATTTTGACCTGGTCTTTAGCCTATATCTCAGTAAATAAATCCCAAATTCGAAAACTCTGATTCTCCCCCACCCCTTCTGTCTTCCTCTAGGATAAATTCAAGGTATACGTTTTCGCTATCTTCTAATTCATTTCCTTTTATTACTTTTTTCTCTATGTTCCGTGATATCAACCGACGAGTACATCACCACAAATGGGAAGCTTCACCAGCACCTTCGATAATCAAGAAATGATAAACTTTCACCACCATCGCATCAAAGTCGTCGCCTCGGAGAACCCTAACCCTAACCAACGTTCACAACCACCGCCACTCGGCTCAAACGCCATTATCGGTTGTTTGTTTAATTTCAGGTTCGTGTGCTTCCTTTTTATTCAAGTTTTCCTTTGATTTTATGGAATAATGGGATTTTGTTGTGTATAAATGAAATTCGGGGTTCCATGTACATGGGTTGTGCAGATATAACGGTGCTCACATCTCCACCCATGTCACTGCACGCCACCACAATGGGCAACAGTCATCATGACATTCACCACCATTACTGATAATCTGAATCTTATCCTTCATCTTCATTTTCTCTTTAACCAAATCCTAGATTCATGGCCTTCACATCTCATATTCGTATTTACCACCTTACAGGTAAGAAATTCTATCAAATGATTTACCCCTTCACTGACCTTCTTAATGTTTATCTTTATGTTGTAATTTTTGTCTTTTAATCGCAGGGTATGCAATTTATGGAGAATATTTCCATAGAGGAGGTAATTATTTCCTCTTTCACCATTTAAAGGCTCCCTTTTTTGTTTAATTGCATAAATATTTGATTATGATGCAAATCTGATATGACTTAATGTGTATATGTGTTTCTTGGAGTTGTTTGCAAAGACTCATATTTTATTTGGTTTCAGAATTTTTGTAAAAATTTTGCAGGAAGTTGTATCTGGAGTAAGAAAGCGACATGAATCAGAAAAAGAGGGTTTCATAGGTTCAATTTCTTCATTTCCTTCTCTGAATGTGGTAGTTTTGGTTTAACAAATTCGATTTCACAATCTCATTGATATGTTTTCTTTAGGTTTGAAAGAGGCTTTTCATGTCTAGATGAAAATGAACCAGAACCCGATTAAAATCGGGTTTGTTATTTAGGATTTGGAACTTTTGATGTACTTTAAAAGAGGAGCCTTTGATTGTATAACAATATGTACTATATAGTGATTCACGCTCATATGTTCATATGTGGATACTTACAATGATAACAGTAGTGAAAGCATATGAAGAAGACAATCATCAAATGGTTTTAGACAAAAAAAAGGGTTTCTAGAGAGAGATGATCATGGATTGGATAAAGTTAAAGAAGAATCAGATGCGGAATATTGGGTTATTATTATTTGAAAATGCCATTGAAAACCAGAGAAAGAGGAGCAATTGGAAAAAAGAAGCAATTCATATGAAGATGGTAATTTAAAGAAAGATTTTTTTCTGTTTCATGCATTCTCGATTTGTGTGTGTGTGTCTTTTCTTCTTATTTTGTTAAATCATTTATATGACAAAAGAAAACAATAATCATTGCTCACGTTATGATGAATCTAGAAGAAATGTGCAAAATTTAGCCAAAATCGATGGCATTAGTAAAACACTACATGTATTTTGTCTCACGGGAAGTACTAAAAGAAACATTTTAAGTGTTGTTAGGTTATTGCTTTTTGCTTTTATTCTTTAGCTATTAGTTGATTTGATCAGTCAGTTTTTCAGGCTTGGTATAACTTGAGAGTTTGGTATACATGCGATCTTCCACCTTCATCGTTTGGAGCACATGGTGTATGATGCCTTCTTGATTAATAATCATCTTTTTGTATCGTAACCCAACTTCTATGATTATCCTTGGTTAAGTGTTTAATCTTATGACGAATTGTTACGTGTGATTCTATTTACATCACTTTCATCCTGCAAATGCCAATGTCAATGTTGTTGCCTCTTCTTCAGTCCATGCAACTATTGTTTGTACATCATCAGTACCCAGTCCACCAACTCAAGGTTAGGTGTTCTGAATCCAACTTTATTAATGTTGTACAAGTATTTACAAAAATACCCTTTCATCTACTTTCTGGCTTCTTAGTTTTCAACTTCGGACTGTGAAGTAGATCTCAAATCTTCAAATGCAATGACATGTTATTTATTTCGAATGTGAAGTAGATATTGAACTTTCTAGCTTCTTAGGGATGTCATTGATGTAATCTTTGTATTTGAAACATATTTATTTTTTCTCACATATTATGTTATTTCCAAGCTAAATTATAGGCACTGATAGATCTTGGACAGTTGCAGGAACATATGTTGCTGCACATGGGATTTACATTTCTTAGATCATCCATCTAAAGCAAAAAATTTGTTGGCAGCTAGAGGTCTGTAACATGAAAGGAACCCTCAAACATTGAGTTTTATGAGTGGTAAATTTGGCAAGTGGTAATTAAGAACAAAATGAATAGGTATCCAAATTTATTTCGGTTTTCAAACTATGAGTAAAAAATGTGCAAGTTCAACTGTTTGAAGACATAGTTTTCTTCTTCTGATTTGTTGAAATCCTCCTCTTAACATGGTGTTATTCTTTTTTTCTTATGTAGTTTTGTAGGTGTTTTGTTAGCTAAGTTTCTTATTCGTAAGAGACATTTAGTTTTTGTTTAGTTCTATTAATTTTTCGTTCGTTTATATAATTTATCACAATTCACAATTCACAATGACACCCTCTCTGTGTTCGTCTTAACTATTATTGAAAGGACAGGATCAGTATGACCTCTGGCTCAAGGCCTTTCTCTCTATAGTTAATATCCTCAAAGAGAAATTCAAAGCTTTTAGGTCCAAAAAGGTTTAGTGGTGGTATATATATAAAAGCTGGAACTATTGAAGATAATCTTTCAACATCAAAATAACGGTAGTCTATTTACATACAATTCAGCTCTTTTGGATTTGATAAGTAAGCCACCACCATACATAAATGGGTGAGTTTATCCAAGCCACTAACAAATTTGGATTCATAGGAAATATTTGTTTTTGATAAACCAATAGTTAGAGTTGTGTTGAACAACCCCTCTGTCCATCAGATATACAATGCAAAATAAGAAATCTAAGCATAGTGGATACAAAATCCAAAGAGTTGCAAACCTTGTCTTTTTTTTTTGTTAAAAAATAGACATGTCGTGTATATATGTCAAGAACATATACGAGTGTAGGGTAAATCAGTCAAAGTATGAGCTAAAATCAACCATCTAATCTTCATGTAGGTAACCAAATCAAGATATGAAAACAAAATTTATATATATTTAAAACCGAGATACGAAAAAAGACATGTTGAACTTCTAATATTGTAACACCCAAAAATTCAAACCAATTTAAACTTTTAAAAACATTTCAAACCATTAAAAATCATTACAACTTTGTTTTCAAAATGTATAATATCAGAGTTCTCCCAGAAACATAGACAAAACATGAGGAGCTGTACGATCACGCCTTCGCCTTGCCGCGATCCCCTGATGTACCTGAAACAATAAACTGAAACTGTAAGCCCGAGAGCTTGGTGAGTTCCCCCAAAATACCGATACACATACAGTCCACATAAACATATCATAACAAACTGAACAACATGTAATGGGTAGCCAGCTTTACAGACTGGATTACCCCTGAGCCCACAGTACGAGTCTCCCTTTAGCCCATAACTGGAATGCTCCCGAGCCCACAGTACGAGTCTCCCTTTAGCCCGTAACTGGAATGCTCCCGAGCCCACATTGTGAGTCTCCCTTTAGCCCGTAACTGGAATGCTCCTAAGGTCTATTGGCTACCGCACGGAGCAGTACAACCTCAACCCATCCACATAACATATAACATACCACATAACCACTGAGCATGCAATAATCATATAACATCACAGGTAGTCCTATAGGTCTACCTAACTGGCATAACCACTAGCATGCAACACTAACTCATACTCAACATCTAACACTGCTAGGATAACATGTCTAATGGGCCGGCCTTGGTGCCTTAGACCCCTTAGTATAGTGAGGATAACTCACCTCGCAACTCGTCTGAAACTAGAAAGCTCAACTCCCGGATCACCAACACGAACTCCACACCTATAGTTACCATAAACCCTTTTTCATAAATCTCCAAATTACCAGAATATCCTCAGAAGTCAACTGGTCAACTCTTTGTCAAAGTCAAAGTCCACAGTCAAAGTCAACAGTCCATGTTGACTCGACTCGTCGAGTGCAGTTCACCGACTCGTCGAGTCCTTCCTGAACTCGAGAAGTCGTGAAATCCTTGATTGGCTCGTCGAGTTCCCCCTTAAACTCGCCGAGTTCATACTGTCCAAGAATTGGGAGAAACCCTACCCGACTCGCCGAGTCTTCGAACGACCGTCGAGTTCAAGGCAATCTTCACAGGACTCGCCGGGTTTGTTCATCAACTCGACGATTCACGACCATCTTCATGACTCGCCGAGTTGACTATGCAACTCGCCAAGTCCTTGCAGACCTTCATCCATGCAGACCCTTTTTAAGCCATGCCAAGGTTCCAGATTACAGATCCAAGCTTCTAAGGCATGTTTATCACGTAAAGTTGCAAACTTTACACACATACAAGGCCCTAAAGGCTCTAAATGACCAATCTAAGCTTCTAATGGAGCTTTACACCTTGGAGTCTCATCCTTGCAAGAGCTGGAAGCTTTATGGACTTAGGACTCAAAAGGGTTCAGATCTGAAGTTTCAACTTCATATCTAGCTCTCATACCAAAATCCCTTCATGAATAACTAAAGAAAGCCCTAGTTTTCACATATGAATGATTCTAGAAGAAAAAGAGGTTAAGGTAACAGCTGGTTACCTCCAAAACGTGCCCAAACTGAAGTAGACTCTGGATCCACATAGAAATCTTGATGCTAGCCTCTTGATCTACAAATTTCATTCACAAAAGTCACTTCCCAAGGCTCCAAAACACTCTCCAAGCTCTTACTCACGGAAATTAGGGTTTCTGGCTCTCAAGGGGTGATAGAGGACAGTGGGAGGCGCTAATGGTCCAATATATAGGGTGCAAAACCCTGAAAATTAGGGTTTCCATTGCCAGCTCCTACTCGTCGAGTCCCTCATGCCGACTCGACGAGTCACTCATCAATTGACGTGTCCTAGCCCGCTGCTACTTGACGAGTCATAGCGCCAACTCGTCGAGTAGACCTTAGACATGAAGTCTGAATGGAAAAAGCATTAATAATACCTGACGGTTGGGATGTTACAATTTTCCCCCACTTGACTTAGACTTCGTCCTCGATGTCTGCTGTAGCGAATAACTCTGGGTAATGCTCCCGCATCTCAGCCTCCGACTCCCATGTCCACTCGGATCCCCTCCGATGCTCCCATTGTATCTTTACCAACGGAACCTCCTTGTTGTGCAGGACTTTCACTTTCCTTTCTAGAACGGCAATCGGTCTCTCAATATAATTCAGGCAATCATCAATCTGAATGTCATCCAGTGGCACCACTGCCTCCGGGTCCACAATGCACTTTCACAACTGTGAAACGTGGAAAGTACTGTGGATCCGACTAAGCTCCTCTGGCAGCTCTAGTCTGTAAGCCACCTTGCCAACCCTGGAAATGATCCTGAACGGCCAAATATATCGGGGACCCAATTTTCCCCTCTTCTTGAAGCGGATCACGCCCTTCCAGGGCTAGACCTTCAGGAGTACCATGTCACCGACCTGAAACTCTAACCCGGATCGGCGTCGGTCAGCGTAACTCTTCTGCCGACTCTGAGCGGTCTGCAGTTGCTGTCTAACCTGCTGAATCTTCTCGGTAGTCTGCAAGACCACCTCCGTCCGACCCATCACCCTGTGACCAACCTCACCCCAACAAACCGGGGTGCGACATTTCCGCCCATACAACAGCTCGAATGGCGGGGCGCCAATGCTGGAATGATAGCTGTTGTTGTAGGCGAACTCTGCAAGCGGTAGGTGGGAATCCCAGATCCCACCGAAATCAATGACACACACCCTCAACATATCCTCGAGGGTCTGAATGGTCCGCTCGCTCTGACCATCAGTCTGCGGATGGAATGTGTGTTGAAGTGTAACCGTGTGCCCAGCTCCTCTGAAAAACTTCTGCCAGAAGCGGGAGGTAAACCAGACATCCCGATCAGAGACAATAGAAACGGGAACCCCATGGTGAGACACGATCTCGCGAACATACACGTCGGCCAATTTCTCGGCCGATGAGCTCTCCCGTATGGCCAAGAAATGGGCACTCTTGGTCAATCGATCCACGATGACCCATATAGCATCAAACCCCTTCGTCGTCCTCGGCAACTTGGTAATAAAATCCATCGTGATTTGTTCCCATTTCCACATGGGAATCTCTAGGGGCTGCAGCTTGCCATGCGGCTTCTGATGCTCGGCCTTGACAATCCTACAGGTCAAGCACCTCTCGACGTACCAAGCGATTTCTCGCTTCATGCACGGCCACCAATAGCTCAAACTCAAATCTCGGTACATCTTGGTGGCCCCCGGGTGAATAGAAAAATGAGACTTATGAGCCTCCTCCATGACCGTCTGCCTGACCCCACCAGACATCGGGACCCAGACCCGACCGCATCGGGTCAATAATCCCCGACTATCCTACACAAACCGAGCATTCTCACCATTGATCCTCTCCAGCTTCCAATTCTCCGGTCGCATGCCCTCAGCCTGGGCATCTCTGATCAAACTCACAAGCGGAGAGTCTACTACTATCCTCATGCATACCGCTGGGGCGGAAGACCCAGCTGACTTGCGGCTCAGAGCATCCGCAACCACATTCGCTTTATCACGGTGGTAAAGGATCTCGTAGTCGTAGTCCTTGACTACATCTAGCCACCTGCGCTGCCTCATGTTCAGGTTTGGCTGATCCATGATATGTCTCAAGTTCTTGTGGTCCGTGTATATGGTGCAACGGACCCCGTAAATGTAATGTCTCCATATCTTGAGGGCGAACACCACCGCCCCCAGCTCCAAGTTATGCGTAGGGTATCTTGTCTCGTGCGGCTTCAATTGTCGCGACGCATAAGCTATCACTCGTCCTCTCTGCCTGAGGACCGCCCCTAACCCTGTGATGGATGCATCATAGAATACCACAAAATCCTCAACTCCCTCGGGGAGTGGCAAGACTGGGGCCTCGCACAACTGCTGTCGGAGGGTCTCAAACGCCCTCTGCTGCTCAGGGCCCCACCGGAATTCCACCCCCTTCCTCGTCAGACGAGTGAGGGGTACCGCAATCTTGGAGAAGTCCTGTATGAATCTCCAGTAGTACCCTGCCAATCCCAAAAAGCTCCTGATGTCTGAGGGAGATTTCAGAACCTCCTACTGCATAATCGCCTCGATTTTGCCCGGATCGACCAAAATCCCCTCTTGGTTAACGAGATGTCCGAGGAACTGGACCTCTCGTAGCCAAAACTCACACTTCGAGGACTTGGCGTACAGCCGTTCTCGCCTCAGAACTCCCAACAACTCCCGCAGATGCTCCTCATGCTGCTCTCGGGTCTTGGAATACACCAAGATATCATCTATAAACACTATGACCGAGAGATCGAGCATCGGTCTGCAGACCCGATTCATCAGGTCC